TCTGATCAATCCATCAGACCTTCTGTGTTTGCTATATGAGTGCATGCTTTGTTTCATAAAAGGATGGGAACCAATTCTGCATACATGTCAAATTGGGGAAATCTTATTTTTAAAAACCACTTGCCTTGTTCCCTCAGGGCTAGTAAACTACTAAGGTTTCTTGATTGTTGAGACAGTGTGTCCCAGTGAGAACATAATTCAGTGGCATTTTTCCACATCCCTAGCACAGTGTGTAATTGCAGGGGTCATGGTCTTAAACTAAGGCACACACAGCAGGCACTGCTACTCACATGAAGAAACTAAAGGGAACGTTTGCTAGACCGTTAATTCTATATGGGCATTACCTTTCATGAACTTAATCCTTGCATGAAACTGAAAGTAAGGCTGTGCCCACTGGCTCTATGCTCATTGCTTATTCTGCTCCACTATCCATGCTTTGGGGAGACAGTAGAGTGGGGAGCATGCTCTAAATTAACAGGTTCTTCCTGTGACCACGTGGAGAGCTTTCATGCATAGAGGAGGCTCTGCTCTTCAAAATGTTGCTCTCTATCTGAGGAGAGTGATGGAGATGCAAAAGGAGTTAGTGTTTTCCTGTCCTTGTGCATTTATGCAATAACATCTCGACAAGGTTGTAAGGCATAAGGTGTTGGAAAGGAGACTGTATAGATTCAGGAGACTCTGATCTATGTCCCAAAATGTGCAGATGGTAAGGGGTAAAGCCAACACGGCCACCATGTTAGGTGCAGAATCACTGGCAGAAACCCTATGCGCTCTCTCTCTCCTCTCTCTCTCTCTCTCTCTCACACACACACACATCATGCACACACCACACACACACACATACCTTAATCATGTTTGGGGGAGCAACCACATAGGGCTATGATCGCCACAGCCTGTCATGCAGGCAAGCAACTAGTGCCCACCCCGCAAATGTTTTGAACTACAACTCCCATGAATAGTGATGTGTCATTCAGATTTTTGGGAATTCAGCTCCGAGAATTCTCCATTCTGGGAGTTCCACCAGACAGAAACACACCTATAGACACTTAAATGTGGCTTATCTGGAGACAGGCCTAGTTGGAGGGCTTCATGGCCTAGCTCCCTGTTAAAAGGGTGCTTGCTGGCTGGCAGTTGAAGTCCAAAGAATTTGAATGGCATTTCCTACCCATCTACTCTAGCCTGAATGGCCAATGTTGAGTGATCATGGCAGCTGCATTCTCACTATATCTGGAGTACTGCACACTGGCCACTACTGGCCCAGAAACATCTTGGTCTTGAAAGTTAGGGGCCATCTGAGGGCCAATTCCATGCACCTAGTACATTGATGCTGACTGATCTGGTGGTCCTCCTCAGTTTGGGATATATATTCTTGCCAACTGTCCACATGAATGACAACAAGCAGTTAAACTGGATGGAAAGATAATAGATGCTAGTTTGTTTGTTTCTCCGTTTGCTTAAGCTCTTTCTGTCTATCCACTAATTTCAGGGAAATGACACCAGAATTACTGGTGTCCTTTTGAAAAGCCACACTGTCTACTTGTCCTGGTCTGCATTTAGAACAAAACAAAAGACAAACAGCATCAAATACTTCAGTCAGAAATATTTAGGATAGCGTATGGGCCATTTAGACCACTGGGAAAAGTGAAGTAACTGATTTTCTGGTACCTGAAAGGAAATGAAATTATTAGTTCCTTATGCAAAGCATGCTGCTTATATATTACCTCATAGTGCTAAAGCACTCTCTGGGTGATTTATAACACAATTATGCAGGCTACACATTGCCCTCGCCACCCAACCCCCCAGTGATCTGCATACTCTGTTTACTGACCTCAGAAGGATGGAATGCTGAGTCAACCTTGAGTGGCTACCTGAATCCATCAGGGTCGGACTCAAGTCATGAGTAGTGTCTTGGGTGCGGTATAACTCCTGAATCCATCAGGATCGGACTCAGGTCATGAGTAGTGTCTTGGGTGCGGTATAACCACTGCAGCACAATGCTCCATATGATTATGCCTGTGTATTATTACTTTTTGGATAGCTTCCAGAATTCCACCAGTAAGTCATGCTGGCTGGGGGAGTTGGGGAGTTGTAGTGAAAAAAGAGCAACTTTTCCAAGCTCTGTCCTTTGGTTTCTCAGCTGATTTAAGTAGTCTTAGCCATGGCTGCAATGCTTTTTAAATCATTTCAAAATAAGAGAAGCATTATTTCCACTCCTCTTCTTAGTTATACCCATCTTCAAATCCTGGCACTATGGAGAAAAAAGTAGCATTCCCACTTTTCTTATGATTGTGTTTTACTCTCTGTCAGTGTTAGAAAGAGGAACTTATGGGATTTTCTGCTTCAGAGAACCCAGTAACTTGACCAATCCCAGGCACTCTGCACCATGATGGAAAGCCAGAGGTATACCAATTGCTGTAAAATGTCCTGGCCAGCCGTTCACACACACACTTTATGTCCCCCTAGTTACAGCAGCTCCACTGGCTGCTGATCTACGTAACTTATAAAGCCCCAAATGATTTGGGCCCAAACTATTTCAAGGACCACATCTCCCATTATGAGCCTGGTCAGGTGTTATGATGATCAGGGGAGACCTCTCTCTTGGTCCCACCACCTTCATAGGTGCATTTGGTGGGGACACAAGAGAGGGCCTTCTCTGCTGCTGCTCTCAGACTTTGGAACTCCCTCCCACAGGAAGCTAGGCTGGCCCCATCTTTGCTGTCCTTGTACAAGGAGACAAAGATCTTTGCTTTCAGGCAAGTTTTCCTTCAATGACTGAAGGGGTTCTTAAATAAATTGTTGTGCCTTTCTGCTTTGAATGTGATTTTGGGTATTGCTTTTGTTTAGCGTTTCTTAGAGTGGTATTTGCTTAATCATTTTAGTATCTGCATACTTTGTGTTTTTAGCTTCAGATATGGTCTTTTAATGTTGTAAGCCACCTTGGATTCTTTTAAAGGAGAAAGGCAGAGCAAAAATATTTTAAATAAATAATTAAAATAAATACAGTGCATTATTCACTGTCTCATGGCAAGAAGGAGCAACATGTTCCCAAAGTTGAAAGAACATATGATCCATGCTGAATCAAAACATAGCCTTATTCAGACTAGCATTGTCTTTGCACAGTGATTAATCAAGGTTACCTACTGATTTATAGTTATTTATAAACTGCTTAGATCTCAAGATTTTAAACTAGTGCACAATAACAAAGCATACACTATACACAAAAGCCCATGGAAGTCCACGGGCAATGGCACCTAGTTTTTCACATATTCCCAGCAACTGGTTGCGAGAAGCATACTGCCTTTGATAGTTGGATATAAAGTAAAGGTAAAGGTTCCCCTTGACAATTTTTTTTTGTCCAGTCGTGTCCGACTCTAGGGGGCGGCGCTCATCTCGCTCTTCAAGCCATAGAGCCAGCGTTTGTCCGAAGACAATCTTTCCGTGGTCACATGGCTAGTGTGATTTAGACACGGAACGCTGTTTACCTTCCCACCGAGATGGTACCTATTTATCTACTCGCATTTGCATGCTTTCGAACCGCTAGGTTGGCAGGAGATGGGACAAGCTTGTCCCAGTTGGATATAACCATTGTGATTTTACATGAATCTGCTTTTACAGCTGTTGGTCTCGTGTTGGTAGACCCCATATTTAAATTACCAGTTGTGTGAAGGTTCTTTTATCATTCAGCTTCACTGAATAAAACTGGTGTTGCTATTATGAGAAATCCCCTCCCCCCAAAAAGTTATATCATAATCCAGACTCCTTCTGTATGCCTTTCTCATGGCAGCGAGGTGCTCTTTCCCTTTAAAGTGGGCACATTTCCAATGTAGTTTGTAGTCTTGGAAAGCTTGGGTCAATCAAACCTGTCCGCTTTCAAGGTGTCACAAGCTTCTTTGTTATTCTACAGTCACCATCGGAAGAGGAGCAGGTCCCATTGAACAGGCCGATGCTTACTTCTGAGGAGACATTAGACTAGTAGAGGATTATTAGGACAAACACTTGGTTGTATAAACATGGTTGTGTGTATGTTCATCTGAAGATACTCACCTGCTAAGTGTGGTCTCATTTTCCTCCAGAAGGGAACAACTTTTGTTCATGGCTAACAATGGGGAGCTGGCTAGATAGCTCAGTGTTTTATATATCTGCCTGTGGAGTGACAGGTTGTGAGTTCAATTCCCCACTGTGCCTCCTGCAAGAGCAGCCAGCCTGTGTAGCCTTGGGAAAGCTGCAGAGTCCAGGATATAACTATGAATGAAATAAATAAGTAAATAAGTAAATAAAATATTCTCTAGCTAGAAAACCTTGGAAAGGGTTGCCATAATTCGGAATCGACTTGGCAGTATGCCCTTATTTTAACGGGGGGGGCGGGGTAACCCTTAGGTCGGCCACCAGGCAAGCTGAAGGTTTTGGACGGGGCTTGTATTTGGGGCGCTAGTGACCCAGCCCTCCTCCCTCAACACAGGTCCTCGCTTGTCACTTTCGCCACCTGGGCGCGCAGACCAGCCTTGCTCGGGAGGTGGTGGGTCACAGAGACTGACATCTGCTGCTGCCACCTCCTGGCTGGATATTCCCCGACCAGGGGGAGAGGCGGGAGAAGGCGCGGCCCAATATTTTCTCCTCAGCGACGTTGATATATACATATATATAAGAATTACTGAAAGCGCGCGCGGGCGGGGGGGGCACGGCGGAAAGCCGGAGAGTG